GGTGTTTGCTGGGAGAGTGTGGGGTGGCTGTGGGGAGCAGTGCAGAAACCACAGCCAGCCACCAGGTGTGTGTTCCCGGTTTGCACAGAGTCTGGGCGCCCTCTGGTGGCCTGAGAACAGCTCCAAGGTGGAACGGGTGGCTGGGGGCTGAGGGTCATGTCTCAGGGAGGCCCCCATCATAAGTGTCACCGCCCATTCTGCTTCTCCACAGTCACAGAAGGGTTTCCTCGCACGAGGTGGTCCAGCAGCAGCCCTCCTGGGCCCAGAACCAAGTGAGTAGGTTTCCACTCTGTTCTCTCTCTCTTTTTGTTAATCCTCACCTGAGGATATTTTTTCCATTGATTTTTAGAGAAAGTGGAAGGGCAGGAGGAGAGGGGACAGAGAAAGAATGAGACACACACACACATACACACACACACAAACACACACACACACACACATCGATTAGATGCCTCCTGCATACATACCAACCAGGCTGGGCGTTGAACCTGCAACCCAGGTATGTTCCCTTGACCAGACCCTTTGGTGCCGGGCTGACACCGTAACCACGTAGAACTCTTGCCAGGGCCCGCTCTGGGCTCTGGATTGTTTTTTGGGGGATGTTGGGCCAAATTCTGGTATGGCTTTAAACAAATGTAAGTTTGTGTTCCCTGCCTCTCGCTGTACCTCACCACCTCCTGGATGGATCTGATGCATGAGCCTCCACTAGGGCCCTGTGAGGGGCTCTCCCCAGCTGAGGGAGGACAGCTGGCAGGCAGAGGGGGCCAGACAGCCCAGTGCTGCCCAGCAGGCCACTGCCCCGCCCTCCTGCCTCGGAGTGCCCGCACTACCGCTCTCCCTGCCTGCTACACCTGGGGTTGAAACTGGGGAGGGCACTTACCCGGCCAGAGTAGTTCTGCAGGAACTTGATTTTCTCGAAGAGCTTGATGTTGTCGGCGCGCAGGCTGTCCAGCTCGCTCTGCAGGGCTTGGATGGTGTGCTGGGCCATGCGGTGCTCCTGTGGGCAGGCAGGTGGGGGGTGGGCAGCAGGGCCAGCGGGGGAAGGGGTGGCGGGAGAGGCCTCCAGGCTGGCACAGCTACTGCTCCGCTACCTGCAGCCTCTTCTTTGACCTACTAAGACCGACCCTCCTCGGGCTCTGGGAAGTGCCCCCTTTCCTCCTGTGACCTCGCCTCAGGCAGAAGTCACAGTTCTTGGGTCAGGTTTCATCATGTTTTATTTGTTTATGGTATTACCAGCCTTTAAAAACTATCAACGAGACATAATTCATATAACATAAACATCACCTTTTAAAGTTTACAATTCAGTTTTTAAAAAAATCTTCACAATTCTATCCCCACTGATTCCAGAGCATCTTATCACCCCAATAACCTGTCCGTAGTCACTCCCCATTCCCTTTCCCCCCTATCCTCCTGAAAGCCACTAATCTACGTTCTGTCTCAATGGATTTGCCTATTCTGGACATTGCATGTAAATGGAATCCTATACTATGTGATTTTAATCTCTGCCAATCTAGGGGCAAGGTGAAATGGGACCTCATTTTTCAATTTTATTCAAATGCTTAAGTAGGTGTTTTCTTCACATTGTTAACAATTCAAACAGCACTACAAAGGACATGGTAGTAAACACAGAATTACCAAACGACCCAGCAATTCCACTTCTGGGGGTACACCCCAAAGAATTGAAAGCAGAGACTCGAGAGCTGTTTGCACACCACACTCTTAGCAGCATTATTCACAGTCGCCAAAGATGGGTGACGCAAGTGCTCATCAACAGATGAATGGATACACAAATGTGGTCTATCCATACAAAGGAAGAGGATCCGGACATAAAAAAGAAGACAATTCTGGCACATGCTACAACACGGAGGAAGCTTGAGGACATGATGTTTAGTGAAATAAGCCAGTCACAAAGAACAAACACTGGATGATTCTGCTCACATGAGGTGCTTGGAAGTCATTCACAGAAAGAGAGTAGAATAGGGGCTTGGGGGGAGTTAGTGCTTAATGGGTATAGAGTTTCAGTTTGGGAAGATGTAGAGTCCTAGAGATGGAAGGTGGTGAGTGTATTTAATGCCACTGAACTGTAGAGTTAAAAATGGTTAAGATGGTAAATTTTGTTGTGTGTGTTTTGCCATAAGTTTTAAAAAGTACATGATAAAAAGTCTAGATTTTCAAAGCAAAAGGTAGAATACTTAACCCTTACTTTTTCTCTCCCATGTAATTTACTTTGAAGGCCTTCTTTTGAGGGCTGCATAGCATCCCACAGTGTGGCTGTCCCAGCCCCTGACGGGCATGTGGGTGTCCCCAGTCCACTGCCCGTGCAGGCAGCGGTGAGGGGAGCCTCCCTGACATCCTTCCTTTGAAGCCTCGTGAGCCTGGATCACAGAGGGTCTCATTGGATCTGGCCCACTCTTGTCACTGGACCAGCACTGGGCCTGGCCCGCAGTGGCTGCTCAGTGACTGTCTGCCCTCCCTGGTCTGAGCCTGGAAACCGGGGGAACTGTGGGTTTGGAGAGGAAGGGTCAGACATTCCAGCATCAAGTGGCTCTCTGAAAAGGATGGAAACCTTCCTGGCTCATCTTCTTCCTTGGAGAGCGGTCAGGGGGGCTTGGCTCTATGGGATGGGGGGTGGGGTCTGCAGTCCCCAGAGCCAGGATGGTGCCACTCTGGGTGCTCCCCTGGTCTGACACTGCGTCCTCTGCACTCTGGATCCAGTGTCTACTCCCTCTGTGGGGACATCCTGGAGGCTTTAAAAGAAACAGCGTGCTCCTGCACCTTTTACTCCGTCCTCACTCTCTCGGGTTCTGTTCCCTACTCTTCCAAGACCACAGCCCTCCTGCTGGCGCTACCGTCAGCATCCACGTGTCAACAGTGCGCACGTGGAGGCACCTCACATCAAAGGCCCAGAGGCCACGGACCGGTCACCTGTGCTGACTGCCCCTCCTCATGGTGCTCCTCCAGCAAGGCCACCAGCCAGGTGCTGAGCAGCCAGTGGGCTCTCAGACCTCACAGAGCACCTCGACGTCCCTCGACCGTGCGTCTCTATCGACCTCAAAGACCCTCCTCTCTCCAGCCTCCCCTGCTTCTCCAAGTCTCCCATCTGATTTACAAGTTTCTTCTTGGATGACGGTGACCACTCCCCAGCCGTCTGTCCTGAATTAGCTGCCCAAGCGATCCTTCTGACCCTCCAGCCTTTGCTCCCCTGCTGAAATCCTCTGCTGGTGCTCCCACCTGGCTGTGGGGCACTCGCCGGGCAGCTCTGTGCTCTCACAGGAGCCCTGCGATGACCTGCACTCCCTTCTGGCACATTGTCCCCATGTCTCTGCTGACGTAATCTCCTCTACCTTGGGTGTCTGATTCCTCTTTCAAAGCCCAGCATGGCACGGCCTCCTCTAGGAAGCCCTCCTTGACTGCACAGAGCAAATCTAATCCCTCTGCAATTTGGGGTCTGTGACACATCTTTCTCCCCCAAGTCTGAGTGTCCCCCACTGTGTCCTCAGGTCCAAGGAGTGTAGGGGAGGGAAGCATGTGACTCACAGCCTCCAGCTCCTGGTTCCGGGTCCGGAAACGCTCCCTCTGGCTGGAGATGATGGACAGCAGTGAGTCTACCTGGCCCTCGGGGAGGGTGCCGCTGGCTGGTGCCGTGGGTCCTAGGAAGTAGGGGAGAGTGGCTTGGGGTGGAAGGAGTCAGAGCCTAGTAGTGGGCCCTCAGGTTGGGTGGTCGCAGCCGCGAGGGAGCTCTGGCCGAGTGCCATGGGTAGAAGGCACAGGGTGTCTACGCACAAGGTGATGAGAGGTCGGGGAAGGGTGGCCTGGGGGACGGGGAGGGGTATGACATGAGGATAGGGGCCCTGGGAGGGGGGTCCCTGCCACAGTCTGAAGGCCAGGCCCCACCCCATTACTCTGTACTTGGATCCAAGACCCCTGCATCTGTCAGACTCCGGCTCCAGGGGAAGCGAAGGACCACTGATCTCGCCGGAAGCCAGGAGTATCCCCTCACAGGTTCTGGCCTCCACACTGGAGGAGGCCACCTCTCCATCAGCGCTGGGAGCTCTCTGGCTGCATTTCCACGCCAAGGCCTCCCTGGGAGCTGACCACCACCCACCAGCCCTCTACAGGCCACTGGCAGGGCCACAGGGGTCAAGACCTCCAGGGGGCATGTCAGACGAAGGCCTACAAGGGCAAGTGGGGAGCTCACCCCTCCTTAATGTTGCTGCTGCATTGTTGGGATGGGGGCCCTGACTTTCTTTGGGGGAGGGGGCATGCTCTTTGGAACCAGGGCTCTGGCCGCATCACTTCTTCTCCCTTCCCTGCTCCCCACTGGCCGATGGCTGCCTTGGGGGGTCAGGTCGGCCCCTCCTCACCATAGAACAGGGCGGTGGCCTCCTTGATGGGCTCTGGGATCTTCTCCAGGCCGTGCTCGGCTGCACCCTGCAGGTGAGAGGAGAGGTGGGGAGGTACCTTCACATGCGTCATTGAACAGTCTTTCAAGTGCCAAGCAAATGGGGGGCAAGGAGCAGTGGGGTGGACTGGCGGCAGGGGCAGGTACACAGTGGCCACAGGAGGGCCGGGAGAGGCCACCTCTCATGGGCCACGAAAAAGAAGGCAGAGCCCAGCCGGTGTGTCTCAGTGGTTGAGCATCCACCTGTGAACCAGGAGGTCACGATTCGATTCCCGGTCAGGGCACATGCCCGGGTTGCAGGCTTGGTCCCCAGTGTGAGGCATGTAGGAGGCAGCCGGTTCATGATTGTCTCTCATCGTTGATGTTTCTATCTCCCTCTCCCTCTCTGAAATCAATAAAAATATATATATATAAAAAGAAAGAAGGCAGGGCCCCCGAGCTTACCCCAGAAGCTGGAGCAGGGCAGGGCTCTCACCTGGCCACTCAGCCCTCATGGCCAACAGTGGCTGGCGTCCCTGGTCCTGCCAGCCAGTCTGCTGTGTGCCCTGAGCCAGCCCAGCTTCTCCTGAGCCCCATTTCTTCATTTATAAAATGAGGGGGTCATGTGATGACCTCCAAGGGCCCTTGGGCTCCAGCCTCCCATGATCTTTGGGCCTCAGTCCTCTTGTGAGATGGGTGGGTAAATCCTGGCCTTGCTCCTGCCCAGAGCTCCCAGGGCAGAGGTCCACCCCAGTGCCTGAAGGGTGCTTGTGCCAGTTGGAGGAGGCCTGCCTCTGTCCGAATTAGGCCTCCAGGTGAAGTGAGCAGGCAAAACCCAGAGAGAGAGCCCTTAGTGGGGTGGTGAGGGGGGGAGGGAGTAGAGGGGGCTCACCTCGGCATCTGGCCGCTGGATGGACTGGATGGTGCTGAGATCCTGCTCCAGGCGGGCAATCAGCTCCCTCTGCTCAGTCACCATGGCCATGGCCTCGGTGACGTGGACCTGCAGCTCTGCACAGCGCCCTGTAGCCAAAGGAAGACACGGCCATCAGAGGGAGCCTGTGGGACCCGGGGTGCCTGTCCCCTCCCTGCCGCTCCAACCACCAGGCCATAAGCAGGACTTCCTGGGGGCCACAGCCGGGTGCTGGCTGCTCCCTCCCCACCTTCTCCTGCCTGAAGGACTGCCATCGGAGCAGCCAGCAGGGCCAGGGGCACTCCTGGCCCAAGAACTCTCTGTGCTCATGAAACCCCCGGGTAAGGGAAGGAGTCCAGGTCCATGACTTGGGAAACCCGGTCCACCCCCGCTCTGCCATGACCAGCTGGGTGAGCCTGGCCACCCCCTGCCTGTCAAGCAGGGCACGGAGGCTGAACACAAGGAGCCCCAAGTTTCTTCCAGGGCTGCTGCCCTGGGTCAGTGACCAGAAGAGGCCTCGGGGGTAGCAGTGGTGGAGAAAGGTACTGAGGTGCAGTGTGGGGTGGGCAGGCCTCACTCAGACCAAGTAAGGGCTGGGGGAGTGAGGGGCCCCACCTCTGGAGCTGACACCAGTAGCCCCTCACCCAATAGGTGGTGGGGATGGGGGTGGGAGGGACCCAGGAATCCCTGTCCCTTTCTCCTCCATCCAAGTGTACAGTGTCTTTCCCACCAGGGAAATCCACGTCCCTGCCC